ATCAACTGCTTTACGGCTTCCAGCTTCTTCCCCGTGGGCGCCGTATCCAGATCCAATCGTCGTCGAGAAAGTGCTAGGACCTGCTCCTCTCCACCAGGAAGATCAGATTGAGGAACTCGCCGGGGTAGGTCACCTGAAGACACCACGTCCTTCTCCGTGACGGTATCCAGCAAGTAGAGTTCAGCTGCTCGCTCTAAGGAAGCGTCCTGACCTTGCCATCGATGCATCATCGCCTTGCAAATCGCTTGGCACATCTTTGGAGGGTAGTAAGCCGAAGACTGTGCTGCATTGCCACGGCATTGAGCGTGTTCGTGACTGCGGTCACATCTCTTGTTCAAGGTCAGCCATAGCTCACGGCTGGTCGTCAGGATGGTCCAGGACTTCTTCAAGGCAACGCCCTGCCACTCCAAACCGTATGCACAGCCGTCGATGCGGACCCAGTAGATCTGCCGATGGTGCTTGTCCATGAGCCGCTTCAGTCGTCCTATGGCTTTTGATCGCCAACCAGCCACTGCCGTTGTTGGCCATTCCCATGCCACATCGTCTCCACTTTCAAGGATTGGCTCTAAGGACATTGCCACTTCCTCACATCGGCGAAGGTCTTGTCCTCGACGTTGAAGGAAACGATCAAGCTCTTCTGGTGTCCTTGGCGTCAGGTTCTGAAGTGCTGACAACCGAGTACAGGACATGGACACCCAGGCCAATTTTGGCTTGCTCTCAGCCACAGTGTTGGCTAGCTTGGTGGTTCCCTTGCGGGAGCTCAAATCATAGCCGGTGACATAGTTGATGCGCTGACCACAGAATCCATGCTCTTCAAAGGTTGCCGTCAGCGTCGAGCTGGGAGAGCATGCGATCTCCATCACATCAACTTGAGAATTCACTGCTCCCACCAGTTCCCTCAGTGGTGCCATCAAAGTACAGGTCAGGGCAGCCGCCGTCGCCAGGCGTCGTGCCAGCGAGGGTCTCACTTGCTTCTCCGTCATATTGACCACTTGGGAGAGCTCTTCTGCCACGGTACTCCTCGAAGAATTGGATGCCATAGTGCTTGTCGGACACATAGGGCATGAAGATTTCGTAGTGCTCGTAGTGCGTGTAGTGGAATTTCTTCCATCCCAGGGTGAAGAATGTCGTGTTGGGCTCAATGATGTAGTGAGGGTATTGATGCCGTCATCAGCCTCCAGCCGATCTTGGCATGTCGTCCCATCAAGGACATTCCGTTGCATCCGGCTCTTGATGCCTTGCAGCTTGCTCCACAGTGCTGCTAATCGCCCTTCTCCTCCTCCGTCTTCTCCGGATCGCTGTCCCAGATCTCCTGCACCGTCTCCTCGGAGTTGACACTCATGGCCACTGGGACCAAGGCTGCCGATGAAGTTGCCTTCTTGCCCTTCTCGGTCTTCTCCGTCTTCGCACGAGTCATGGCATTCTTCATCTTCTCGGCTGCGATGATCTCCTCCTCCGGGGTCATGGGCTTCTTCGCAGGAGTCTTTGGTACCGGCGATAGCGAGCGTCCCTTGGTCTCCTTGGATGGCTTCAGTGGGCTCGCCGTTGGGTAGCTCCCCGAGCACGAGGCATTGGCCATCATCGCCTCGCCCAACTTCTCGTCCGCCCGGACTTGCACTGTCGTCCGGCTGTGCCCGCCGCTCTGCACCAGCGTCCGGCCTCTGATCTCCATCAACTTCCCGTTGAAGATCTTCTCCGTCATCTCCGGGGCCGCAAACAGCGACTTCAGCTCCTCCTGGGCCTGCTCGACCTGATCGGGAGGCGGTCCCACTGCCCGTGTCTGACCAGTTGCCTTCCCTTTGGTCACGTAGCGAAGTCGAAGGCCGCATCGGCTGCATGCCTGCCACATCGCTGAGCCATTGGAGCGCTCTCGTCCCGGAAGATGTTCTCCACGGCATGGCCATCCCACTTGTCGGGGATCGTGATCCGAGGACGGTGGGCATGACTTCATCCTCTGGAGAGGAGACGTAGACGGCCTGGTGTGCTCTCAGGCGCTGAGCCAAGATGCTGAGGCGGCTGGAAAGATCATCGGTTCCATCCTCTTGGACCATGAAAATTGTCCCAGTCGCAACTGCCGACTGACATTCATCATGAGAGTGAATGGAATGATGATCCTCATGTTCATGACCAACTTGTTCATGTACAGGTGCATGTTCTCCGTGTGCATGATCAACTGGTTCATGTGCGGGTGCATGTTCTCCATGACAAGAAGCGCTCGTGACTGCACTTGACTCCATCGTTGAATCCTGACCTTCACAGCCTCGACTCGACTCGAGAATGCTTTCATGAACATGGGATTCACTGTCTTCGAGATCGATCGATGGATGTCTGACGATCACAGTGTCGGCCACGTACGTTTCTCGGTGCTCAGAGGGAGTCTTCGGTGCGGGACGAACTGTTGTTTCAGCCGTCGGAGGAGGTGGTTCTTCTGGTTCAACCACCACAGAAGGAGAAAGGTTGGGACTTTCGTCCGACTCAACGTGGGCTCCCATCTCAGCAGCGCGGCCCATCCCAGAGGTAGTCGGTGCTGGAGGCCTCGTAGTTCCAGTTGCATGGCCCCTGATCAGGGCTGCTGTTGGATCTTCTCTTCGTCTTTTCGGCCTTCGAGCGCCTGGGTCATCACCATCTGGGTCCTCATCGTCTTCATCACCATATGATGGTCCACCAGGAGGCCACTCAGTACCTGGGTTCGTGTTGAAGCGAGCGATCAAGAACCGGATCGGCGTCTTGGGAGTCTGCAGGTACAGGGTCAGGTGTCCACTCGGCAAGGGAGACAGTTCACTGCAGTACCAGTTGCCTCTCACGGATCGGTGTGCCATGTAGTCTCCATGGTATGAGATCACCGAACGTCGGGCCTTCAGCTCACGGGCTCCCAGCAATGGCGGTGTCATCTCAGCTCCACCATCAAGCAAGTAGAAGCCCAGTTCGCCCAGCGCTGGGGTGTAGAGGACAACTTTGCTGACCGCCCGTTGTGACTCTCCGTTCCCGAAGCGGAATCGTGGTCGATCACCAAGCTCCACATTGTAGAGGAAGTTGCAAGTGTCCATGAGCCTTGCCATCGCCCGGATGCCAGCCACAGACTCCGTCGCTCCGGTGTCGATGATCACCCGGCTGCAGGACATGTTGTCAAAATCATCCCGATCCGTCAGGCTGAGGACATAGACGTCGGGCACCCACTCCGCCTCGTAGTCGGTGAAGAAGACCTTGCCCTTCTTCCCCTTGGAGGCGCTCTTGCCCTTGCCCTTGCCGATGAAGGAACTCCTCGAAGAAGGCGATGATGAAGCTGCCTTCTTCCCTCCTTTTCCGGACCACCTGTCAGGGCACTTGGCATAGCCGTGTCCTGGTTGTCCGCAGATGAAGCACGGACCAAATCCTCCGGATCCTTTGCCCTTCCCCGAGGGCGATCCTTTTCTCTTGCCTTTTCCACCTCCGAGATGTCCAGGATGGCCTTTGGTGCCAGTTGGATCGAAGTAGCCACGAGCTGCTCGAACTCTTGCCACCGCTTGGCGTGCTTCCGCCAAGGTCTTGTTGGCCTCTGTCGCAAGAGCGTAGGCCTCTTCCAACCGCTGCTCACCCTCAATCTCTTCAGTGCTGCGATCTTGCCCTCCAGCTCCGTCATCATGAAGACCAGCGTAGGTCTCTTCCGCCTCGTAGCCATCATCCCATGACGAAGGAGACCAGTCGGCCCAATAGGCGTCCGCTTCGCTCCACCATGAATCGTCCTCGGGCCACCATTCGTCCTCATGTTCCCAGTCATTGTTCTCCTCATTGAACCAGACGGTCTTGCGAGGAAACCTGCCATGGTGTTCGTCCGCCTGATCCGCTCCATCAGAGAAGAGGGACCTCAGGGCTTGGCGGATCTGAGCGAAGTGCGTGGAGTTCTTCGTCAGAGTCAGGACATGCTGTCTCTCGGCTTGCGACAACTTCGAAGCCTTCAGGAGTCTATAGCCCCTCAACTCATTCTCGAAGAACCCAGCGCCACCTGAAGGCGCGACCATCGGCGGCGGCGGAGGTTCATCGTCCTCCACCACGAAGCTGGCCTCATCTCTTCCCGAGCTCAACCCTGCTCGGGTCACGTTCGGCGACCGGGTTGGTGAGATTGGAGGGTCATGTTCACTTGCCCCCACTGCCATCGACCGGACTTCATGCCGAGCACGCTCATGCCTTGCTCGTTGAAGGGCTTGTTGGAGTTCCACGAACAGCTCTTCCTCTCGGACAAGCAACTGCGGGATGCTCTCGTTGGGGCCCCTCCTGAGGCCACTCCATTTCTCCAGCCTCGAAAACGAGTCGGGGATGGGGAGCTTCTGGAGAGGGCTTTCTCGGAGTACCCGAAGTAGTTTCTCCAGGCCTGTGTCCGAGCTGAAGTCCTTGGGGTCGAGATGGCGAACCACCGACTTGGCGGCGCCGGCGAGGCGCTGCCAAATCTTCGGGGCTGCGAGCTTCTTCTCGCTGTCCTTCAGAGAGCATTCAAACCACTTGCAGGACGTGGCGAATGCCTCGAAGGAGCTTGGGTCTCCGTCCCACACTGGGACCTCCTCAGTGGGCATCAGCCCTTGCCGCCAGGATCTCCTCGAAGGTCACCTGGATGTAGCCAGAGCTCCGCCTACCATGAAAGCGGGTTCCTACCACAGGAAAACACGCGGTCCAACCGTGGACCAGGGGCGACGCCGCGCGCACGTTTCACCGCTGGCTCTCGAGCCCACCCTGTCGGATGGAAAAGGGTCATGTCAAGTGAACCTCAAGCTTGCAATTAGCATTGGAAGCTTCTTCACCGGCTGGGGTATGCTCGAGATGGTGCTATCAACTTTGCAAACCATCTGGAACACCAAGCACTCAGATCGTCAATCCATGAAGGCTTCGAGTACCCCAAAGAACAGTTTGAGGTTTTGATAATATACTATATATTATATATATTTAATATATATATATCTACATATGGGGGCGGAAGTTTGGAACAACCATTGCCACTCTATTCCGTTCTTCAGGTGATAGTCAAGTTCATGGCGGAGATCGAACCCCGCAAGCAGAAGTACCTTGCCTCTAGGTTCCCTGAGACCATCATTTTCCAGGATGTTGGTGACACAGCTCGCAATTGTGCTCCCACAGCAGATGGTGGATCAGCAAAGGTCCCGAAGGCTGACTAGATATAAACTATCCTGATTATCGTGTCCAAACATGTTTGGCAGTCAGTTTGAATCACTCTCGCACTACTTGCCACCTGGTTTAAGTGCTCAAGATCCTTTCTTTTCCGCCAGGTGGACTTGCTGGCTGCCGGCTTTCCATGTGTCTCTGTCAGCAACCTGACTACGACTCCAGGCTCGGTGATTGACCCAAGCTGCTCTTCCGGCTATGGCTTCTTGGGAGTTGAGCGGTATGTCAAGCGCCATCGACCAAAGATGGTTCTTCTAGAAAACGTGCGATCACTGTTTGAGAAGCGCCAGGTGGAAGGAGGTGATTCAGCGTAGCTGGTCATGCCTTTGCACAGCGTTATTCATATGACAGTCGTGCGTTCAAATAAAGTATCGAACAAACATATACTTTGAAATTTTGTTGGGGGTTGTATGCGGGGATGCTGAGGTATGAGATCGTGAGGCGCCGCTTAGCCAAGCTTGGGTACGCTGTGTCCGGCGCCGTGTACAACACTGCAGACTTTGGTTTGCCACAGCAACGTAACAGGGCTTGGTTGCTGTGTGTCTTGGAGTCAGAGCTTGCTACTTCTGAATCCCAATTGGAAAAGGACATGAACTTGTTCAGGCGACATTGCACTCCTATGTCCAAGTGTGTAGATTTGTCGGCCACCTTTGAGAAGGAACCCCAAGAACGGAAACCAGGGAAGCCAGGGAAGCCAGATGCAAAGTGGAGGGATGCCTTGGACCAGCAATTCGATATCTATGGGAAGGCAGGTATAACGAAAGAGTCAAAACAAAGAGTTGAGATTGATATAATATACTATTACTCACTGACTACACCAAAGGGTTGCAGACTTGTGGATTCAAGTGAACAATAGTTCATTCACATGCAAAGGATGGGTACACTGCTTTGGCTTTTAGCCTTTTTTGTGGCTGATGATGACAGTTCTCAGCTCGCTGTATTGGACTCTGTTCACATCCTGCAGCGAGCGTGAGGTTGCCATTCTTGCTTGTGCTGTAGAGGATTTGGCATTGAATAAGAAGGTGGATGCCATGAAGGAATTGCTGGTTGTTCAGGTGGTTTCTTTGATGCATTAATCTCATGTGTGTATGTTAAACATATCATACTTGCTAAAGCCAACTTTGTCAATCCCAACTGCGCTTTACATGACCTTAGGACCAGAACTTTGATCGATCCACATATCCAAAGTCCAACATTTGGACAACAAGTTGCTTGATTCCGGGTGGGAAGTACATCCTCACAGGCCCAGGAAAGTTTCGCCAAATCACCGCGAAGGATCGGGTTCAAAGTTGGGATGAGATTGCAAATTGATTACCGTCAATTTATTTTTTGAGAAGGCGTGTACTAAATATAATATATATATATAATATATATAGATAGAGTATATGGATGATGGTCATGAAACTACATGTCCATTAATGGATCATGTGTCACTCCGCTCCCGTGTTTAGTCAGTTTGTTTCACAGGAGCTGGCAAGGCTTCAAGGTGTTGGCTGTGTGGAGTGGTCGGACTACCGAATGGGGGAGGAGTCGCCGGCTTTGATTCGCTCATTCATTGGAAATGCGTGCCCTCCTAAGAATTGATCAGTCAGACTAATCAGGGGGAATCTGTTGAGGGAGGCTGAATTCTAAATGGTGCTAATCTAGAGAATCTAGAGGTGTAAGATCAAACATCATCCAAAGATGTCATTCATTGGATCAGAGATGTTTAAAGCTGCTCTGATAACATTTAGTCCTGTCCAAACATGTTGCGAGGTTCTCAGCTCCCATCAATTTGGCGGCGCTAGCCAGCGTGCTGGCCAATTGGAACGCGGAGGCATCCCAGGTGTGAGTCGCTAAGTTCGAGAGCTCGGTGTTTCCTCGATTTTCTTTGAGCTAAGTGCTCTTAATTCGGAATGACACTAGGCAGGAGGACCATCTTTGAGACAAGCTGGAACTCCCAGCTGTGTTGGCATTGAAAGTTGCAGCTTAACATTGTGCTTCTCCAGCTTAACATTGAAAGATAGCCAGAGTTGGATATGTGAGACGTGTCGCCATTGCTGAGTTTCCTTTGTGAAATGTAACTTCTGAATGCTTTTCAGGCTCTTTTCCAGACTGACGGCCCTGTAGACCTATTGTTGTTGCCATGCCTCCGAGAAAACGACAACGGACTAGCCATCAAAGCAACAACAAGAATTCAAACCAGGCGCCAGAGAGGGTCGAAGATGTATCCCAACCCCACCTCCAGCTCAGGGACTGGATCATGTCTGCTTTTGGAGGCCGGCATGGATTCAATGAATCCAGGAAGTTCCCTCTTGAGAATGGAGGTTCTTTCCTTGACATCGTCCAGCGGTGCTGGGCAAACCAAGAGACATTAGTCCAGGACAGCTTGAGCTTCATCAAGAAGCTTGGTATCATCGGGTCAGAGGCCACTGATGACGACTTCATGCAGAAGTATTTGACTATGAAGGACCAAATTGTAGAGAAACCTGGTTTCCATGACTGTTCACCCTTTCAAAGCAGGTAGAGATGAGCAGCTTGGGTCATGACTGATTGTTTTCTAGGAATGTTGCATTTGGGTGTATCTGGGAGTTGTCCATCGTTTTAAGTTGGGTTCCAAATATGTAGAATTTTGAAACAGGACTTTCCACCTCCGGCCGGGACGTTCTTCAACACGTCCATTCTTCAGTGGTCCTTTGCCAACAATTCCTTTTGGCGGCTACCAGATGCGGCGACTGTGCTGGATATAGCAAAATCCATAGCACTTGCTGGGTATCGAGAGGCAGGGTCTTGGGTCCAGGTTGGGGGGAAAGGTGCTGACTCCAAGAAATGGGAAAAGAAAAGTTAAGTTGGCCTTTGTTGACCCACCATCTCGCCACTTTGGGGGGAAAAAAAATGTCAGAGTGGAGAGCTCTTCCTGGAAGTGCTCGCCGCCCCCCCCTCCCTCCAGCTATAGATAGTCATCAGTCCCTTAGCGAACCTAGGACTGACCCAGGACTGGAGAAAAGACTTAGGATATTTTCTGATGGTCATCAATACTTGGAAGAGGGGGGGGTGGTGAGCTCTTCCAGGAAGAGCTCGCCGCTTTGCCCAGGAAAGAACAAATCCAAAGTGGAGACCTGGCAGGTGCCAGGGAAGGGGGATCCCATCCACTGGGCCATGATTTAGAACATTCAGGTGGTGAGCTCTTCTAGGAAGAGCTCGCCGCCCCCCTCCTCCTGAGTATCTTACTTTGAAGGCCCCAGGCACAAGATTTTGGTGAACTCTGGAATTCAATAAATTGTCCAAATCTGGAAACGACAGATATCTAGGACCCCAATGATGTCCTTATTTTGATTTATCTACATGGTGACAGTGATTTTGATATTTGTCCAACACCACATACACCAGCGGCCATTGGCAGGGGGAGCTCCTTGGAATGCGGTTGCTACCAGATGATGAGGCAAATGATTCTGATTACCACCAAGCTCAGCTTCGCTTTGACGATGGAGGCATGCGAGGGTTGGCCTGCGCACTTTGTTGGTGTGGATTGGTCTACCACGTTTCAGGTCTCAAGGAGAAAGTCTTCGTGTGTCAGCCAGTGATTGATTTGGTCAAGTCCCTTCTCAGCCTCCCCAGTATCCACAAGACTCAAGGGGATTCAGCTACTGCGATGATCAGGCGGATCATCAAACAGAACGTTGACTCAAAGAAGATGGCAGTGTCCTCATTTGAGTGGAGCCAGATTTTGTCCAGCATGCGCAAGGATGGTCAACACCTTTCAGTGGCAGATGCCATAGAGATGTACAATGCCAATCCGGAAGTCAATGCGCATGGGGGAAGCTCTGGGAAGGACATGATTAGGGTTTGAAAGCACCATTTAACATTTGTTTACAATTGCTTCTCAACTCAAACCTCAATAGGCACTGAGCGAATATTCCAAACTAAAACCGCCATTGGCCATTGGTGACCATGTCCTGCATCTTATCTAATTGGACGCGTTGCAGGACAAAACTGGTGCAGGCAGCCTCTTTCTGGACAGCAAGAAACAATATTGCATCAAACATTGGCTGGAGTTGACATGCAATGGTGCCCGGAAGCAAGTGGAGATTGCGTTGCTGGACGGGCCTTTCCAGTTTGGCCCTTGGGGTGAGCCCCTGTCGATGATGAAGACACTCTTCATTGGATCGTCTGTGTCATTGCTTTGTTTGCCAGACTCCGGCATGGTGCCCGCGGCTGGCGAAGACAATGTGCGCATTGACTGGACGCTGCCGATGACTCCTGCATCGCAGGAGCTGTTGTTCACCAGGATCACACAAATTGTGGAGCAGCCAAGTGACCGCAAGCGCTACCGCCTCACAAAGGAGGAACTCGTCTCTTTGCGCAACATAGTTTGCCTCTATACCCAGGTCCGTGATTTCATGTCCGAGCGGATCACTGAGTTCGCAGAGTATGACAAGTTGATGACCACCAGCAACCTCAAAGACCAGGACTTTGCTGAGATGCTGGAAGCACGGCCATCGACCTTTTCCTTGAGCATGCTCCCATCTGCCAAGCGGCAGGCCTTGGAACAGGCAAGGGTTCAAGAGGAAGGTCAGACTCTTGAAGCAGAACAAGAGCGGTTGTCCGCGACACGCGCTGGCAGTATTTTCAATCCGCTCTGGAGCGGGATTGGAAGCTTCTGCGAAGCATCAAGGAAGCTCCAGAGAGGGTGGAAGCTTTGAAGCACCGCAAACTGGTTCAGTGGCGGTTGAGTCAGGCAGAGTTGGGGGAGAAAGTGGTCAACGCATACAAGAACAAGTTTCTCCGATGCGAAGCAGTGCCCAAAATGGAGCTGGGGCAAGCAAAGGTAAATGAGTTCAGAAGCTTCATAGCAGCTGGGACTGATTTACTCTCAGACTTTTTCTTTTCCAAAGGTTGTTGGTAAACTTTTGAGTGACTCTGTTAGGGACAATGGGTTTCTATTTTGCACATTGGCCTGAGGCGCAACCATCGGGATGCAGTGAGTCTGATGTGTTTCTTGTGGCAGTGGCGGACTTGAACGTCCCAGGAGCGAAGTCATCAGAACGCATCCTTGAGATTGCCAACTTCATCCAATTCTCGAATAACCTCGCTCCGCAGCGGAATTGTGCGGTCTTGGAACTGCCGGAGTTCCCCAAGCGCTCTAGCAAGCGTGGTCTTGCAGACGAAGAGAAAGAGATCCAGGACGCCCTCTAGGCACTGAAGCAAGGGTGCGATGCAAGGTGGATATGTCCTTTTGAGGTTCATGCGTCTGCAGAATCTCAGACTGTTCGCAGGCTGGATTTGTGAATTGTGTGTTCTGGTGACCTGGTGAGAATGAGTCAATTGATTGACAAGTGTTGAAGAGTTGTGGGCTGCTGAGTGACATTTGTTGCGATGATGACAGTTTGTTTTAGTCAAATGATGGCATTTGTTGCGGTAATGACATTTGTTGCAGCAGTGTAGTTTGCTTTGTCAGAAGCGGGAAACCTCTATTTTACAGTCATTTATCCTCAACCGTCAGTCAGTCCTATCATTTTGATCTTGGCTGGACTACTTGTTGCAACAGTGTGCAATTGGGGACAAGACTGTTGTTGCCTTCTGATTCTGGGGGGACTGGGTTGCACTTGCTAGGCGCTTTAGCTCTGGCAGAATCGTCGCCAACGTGGATGGCCAAGATGACAACCTATGGGTCACATCATCAGAGCTTGCCCTTTGCGGACGCCCATTGTCAGACGAAGCGCTAGTCCTCCCACTTTCTCGGGACATCATGGTTCCAGAGTCGCTGTCCGCGGAGGGGGACCTGAAGGGTGCGGAGAGGGCAAGGCCTTCAAATGAGACCTCCGCGGCACAGAAAGGCACAAAGCGTTGGCAGAAGCTGCTCCAATCACTCTTGACCATGCGGAACGGCTCCAGCAATGTTCTCAAGAACAAACCTGTTCTGGTTCTGAACATGACTGGATACATTGAGGATGTTGGGAAGGCAGCCATTGGGTTGCAATGACCTTTGTTTTCAATTTGGGAGCTGTTTCCCTTGGGGTCCCCAAGAAAATATTGGCAACTACTGATCTGATCCACATATTATTGCCGGACAAGTTATCTTGCGATGGACTCCAGGACTGACTAGAGACTCCCAAATAAGTGCGCAACTGCTGTTTGTTCTTTGTTTGCCTTTGTTGGCCTTTTTGCACTCCATTCTTGTCTCACCAATCTCTTTTTCCAAAGAGTCATTTAAAGTTGGTTGGTTGATGCAAAGATCTTCTATTATTATATGAAGGTGAAGGTGAAGCCATAGCTTGGGTCAGCGAGAAGCATAATTACAAAACACACAATATCTGGCTTGGGAACATTGATGTGTGCATGTGAGGAATGACACATTGTATCCTTAGATTTGTCAGGATTGAGTTCTATGCTTGGGATTTAATCTGCTTTTGACAAACAAGTTCCCAAGGTCAAGGTATTTGAATTGCGCCTGCAGAACACCGAGTTCAAGGGGGGCTTCAGCACTGCCAACCTCTATTACCAGAGTGTGTGCTGGCTCAACAAGAACACATTCGGTCATGCTCGCCTCACCCGAGAGGTAACAGATGCATGGATTGAGCGTCGCTTCTCCCATGGGGGTCACAGCTTTACTATGCAGCCTCCGGAGCTCACCGAACAAGAGCTGCAGTCCATACCAGGAGCATCAAACACACAGGTCGACAAGCTGAAGTGTGAGGTCCTGGAGCGCAGCGGGCCAGGAGTGTCATCCTTCAACATCAAGACCGATGAACACAAGTACTGGTCGATGCAGGGAGGAGAGATTGGGACCCTCTACAACTCCCTCAGAGAAAGGCACCTGGACCTCATCGGGCGTGCAAACAGTGGGGCTCG